AGAAAATGAAGGAGCCGTGAAAAGACTACGTTAGAGTCGTAAGTAAAGGACGATATAAAGAAATCGAGTCGCCGAAAAGACCGGAGGAAGAAGAGACCAAGCTCGGGCAAAATGCTACAAACAGCTCTGGAACGGAGTGGATTGGCTCAATCTTGAATAGCTAGTCATTTAAATGTCTATCTACTGTCTCAGAAAATACTATTGTATCGGCTAGCTTCTCGGTGACTCGGGAAATATTCTCTTCTTAGAATCGCTCTTTGTTGGTCAAGAAGAATGCGAGAGCAATGTTCAAATGTAATCCCTAGCTTTGTCTTATTTCCAAATCTCCATGTCTCACAAAACTCCCAACCACTCAATGGAAGAGAGGCCTTCGGTCACAAGGTTGCCGGACATATCATGTCGAAGCATTGTACAGAGCCTCCCCTTATCACGTCAAGTGACTTTATTCAAAGCACGTATTTCTAGCGAGTATTCAGTCACCCTTTCCAAGTTATGATCGCCTGTCAGAAATTTCTGTGCGGTCTTCTTTTACTCACGGCTTGATCCCTATCATACCTTGCCTCTGGAGGCTTTCCTCCAAGCTCATCCGGTCGGGTGCATGAGATTCCCAGGCAAAACCACGTTTCTGAAAATATTTGGGTTTTCTCGAGCCAGATGGAACAGGCTGACAGTAAATCCAATTGTTGCTGAGTAGCTGTCTTGATTTGACGCGGACTTTTCCTGCAATCTGTACATAACCTATGCTTGATCGTAAGTCTTATGGTCCGCTGGATGATATCTGAGTTGGTCCATATTTGCATAGCAATTGGTATAGCAGCATATGTCCTCGACTGCATATCGACTTTAGCCGAACATGACTGTCCAATGCAACACGTTTGGTGAAGAGGATCACCAGACCGGAGGCAGAAGACTTCTTGCAATCTTTGAAGATTTGCAGCCATTCGAGAGAACGAGAACAGAACGGATGAGATAGGTGAAGGATCTCGTTGAGATGAACCTTTCAGGTTTTGAGGCTTGCCAACCGAGTCACAACATAACGTAAAAAGTAGTTATGACAGGGCAACCCATTAGTCATCTCAGGGGAGACGATCTACAAGGCCAATTTTCTCACAGGACATTGTTTATCGTCCTGACCGATGGTTTTCCTGAAAAGTTCTAGCAAGATACTCAGTGGAACTTTCTATGATACCGTGTCTACTATTGCCTCAAAATTAGTTCTCATAAAACGCAGACCGACCTATCTAAACATGCTGGGCCACCAACGGCAATAGTAAGACACAGATACTGTGGGTCGATCAGTGATTTTTCATACATACCTCAAATCCCCGTAATATTATTGCGGGATTTGATTGAATGATCGAATAAGCCCTGTAGAGTGTCTGGGCCCAATATCTTACGTGGAAAGCCCGAATATCACCGATGGGGTGATTCGAAGGTTTTCGATTTTCACATTGTCCCTTGATCGACATGGAGGGATCTCATCACTATTTAGCGCATCAGTGCTTCCTGTATATACATTATATCCAGTTGAAATTCCCTTTTATTCATCACTGTGTTCGAGCTCCGTGCCACGAACCTAGTGTTTGATAATGAGGCCTGCCATACTGCCTGGGCTACGCCCTCTCACCACCTGGGACCACCAACTTCAGTAGTCTAGCCATAGCTTCCTACTTCCTCCTCTCCCCTTCTAGTCCACGTCGAGTGTTTTCATCTTTCGGGTTTCTCCTTCGTAGGATCCTGCAGCCAAATAATTAGCATAATCAGCATGTACTTTCACATTAGATTTGTGTCTTGCATTTATGATGTGTTGAACTGTAGAAATAATCTGCATGGGAGAAGGACGCCTACGTTCTGTATTTCCTTCCCGATATAGAGCTATCTCGCTAAAGCTTCAGAGTCCACGGAGACAAAATACGTGACACGGTCAGCATCTTGCTACTTGAGTCTAAAATTGATACCCCATTCACAGAGCCCAATCGACCTCCGTTTTTTCTTCAACCACTTTGTAAAGAAGTGCAATTCACTGTTGACATAATTAGCTAAGTACGAGAACTTTTGGCCATTATGGACGCGACTATCCAATGGCGCCCGCAGATTCAAAATTCTATGGCCTCTTCATGCGCGCTTCAAGTAGGCGGTTCGCTCCAAGGTTGGGCGGGCCAGAGCCGACCGACATGTTATGGCCACTGCCAGAAATTGACCGGACCTTCACAACGTCTCACTACTCCGAGGGAAATTTCCTACCTAATCTCCAGTCACCTTAGAATGTGTGCTCTCTGCCAATAAAGTTCCTACGTGCCATAAGGTGGGTGGGAGACATTATGCGCCGATGCTTGATATCGCAACGGTAAGGACCTAAAAACAGAGGTATTTAAAAAGCTGGAAGCCGAACGGCAAAATGTAGTAGAGCTTTAAAGTCCCATATTCGCGCGCGACTATAACTCTAGGCTATATAAACCACTGGCCTCGGTCATCGTCCTGGTGTGAGCTGGCGGTTAGTTTCCGAGTAGCTCGACTATGGAAGAATGACTGTGTTGAGCTGCGGTCTGTACGGCCTCTTTCCGTGGCTTTTATAAATGCCTAAATGAACCCGCGGGTGGTCACTAAGCAGTCTTGATATTTCGTTCGTTGGAATGCACTAGTTAAGGTCGCATGGCTATATTTCATTTCTTATCGCGTGTGTTGAGTCTTAGTATATCTTGGTCCCGATTCGAATCCTTGGCTGGAAGTTTGATAAACAAATACGCGGGGATAGGCTGAAGCCATGACAGGTCATTATATATCTATAAAGCTAAACACCTGTTAAAAAAAGGTCGGCCTGTTTAGGTTAGGCTCAGACTCAGATAAGAGTGCCTCAAGTCAGATACTGGGGTAGAACACCATTGCCGCTGAACTCTCCAATGCTTTGGAATAGAATGTGGTCGGTTAAATGGATGACCCAGTCCTCTATAAACCAAGAAGACGGGTAGCTACCCGCTATTTCCATGGGGTCGTCGAAATAGCCCAGGTCACAGGGGGAAATATTTGATCTATGCATACTGGTCAAAATCGAGTGCGGAGTCTCCGTGCCCTCGGAAGGGCTTAGGTATGTATCAAATCCATAAGCCCTGTTTCGGGGAGCTTCTAAGATCTCTATATTACTGTTTGCTAAAAAGCTAACTTGATAGTCAGCCACAACTGCTTTTTTCGTGGGGTTTCTGGAACCAGGCTTATAATAGAGATTATAGTCTGGGTTGGCCTCGGAGTGATTTCGGCGCTTAACCTCTGCTAGTGCTCTGTAGGTATATCGCGTTATAGGATCTATACGCTATAACCCTCCGGCAACCTGGGACACCACGCTATTATTACGGACGTTGTGCCGACTCGCAAGATACTAAAGTATCGGGTAATAACGGGCGAAACGGAAAACTATAAACGCGTTAAAAGGTCGATTAATTTTCCTATTCTGGTTCAGTGCTTCAGCCTTTCTGATACTCGGAGGCTTATCCACGCGGGCGACCGCCTTTTCGTACGCCTGAGAACTTTAGCGTTCGAGTATCTCACTGTAAAGGATTAGTAGATTAAAGACAAGACTATGCTAAGGGTTTGACTGTCCTTATATTAATTACAGCTATATAAATAAAAGAAGCTACGAATACGACTAATCAATGTTGTAGGTACTCTTTCAAGGGGACCCTAATCGAGTCGGTAGTAGAGTGACGAGGAGTAGCTTAGTTACACCGACTATTATAATAAACACAAAAGTTCTATAAGAGAGAATTTCGAAGGAGACGCTATAGGCCTAAAGCTCAGCGTCTTCCGAGCCATTAATATTTAAATAAGAGTAATCCGGCGTTTTTCCCCGCTCGCCTTAATAATGACTAGACTTAGTCAAATTGACATTACCTAATATACGGTCATTTATCCTAAGTCGGCCAGACTCCCCGGGGCGTATATTAAAGTTGTGCTAACGAGACGAAGCTTTATATCGAACGTGGAAATGTAATTCATAAATTAGTAATTCTTCTCTAGTATAATGATCGATAATAGATTCACGTGTATATACTTAGGTACTTTCTAAAGTAACGTAGTATCTTTATTGATATATTTCTATTCTCCTTCTATAGATGATATATTTGTAGCAGTTACTTCGTCTATATAGATAAGGGCCGGAACCTGTTCCTGTTTCTTAATCTAACAGCAGGTAGAAATAGAAACTTAGAGATAACTACCTAGGAGGCTTGAAGACCCATGTTTATAATAATCATATATTGAAGTTAAAGATTTCCGCATTATTCAAAGCTGACAAAAATCGTGCGACTGAGATTCAACGCTACTAACCTTAAATCTAGGTCATGGATCCAAAGATAGGGTGACCGACCGGGCTAGGTGAGGTCGGATTCATTATGCTAGACTATAATGACTATTGCTAAAGATATTAGATAATTTCCTAAAGTAATTTGACCGAAATCTATCGTAATATAATAGTACTGATTCACTGTGTTAGGCCTTGCGTACCTATTTATTCTTAATCCCGGAGTAGTCTACTACTCTTGCGGTAAAAATGAACTAACCTTTTCAAAGACAAAGGTAATTTATAGGTTATAGACTATATCTTTAAAGAAATCTTTGATTCTTCTGATTAGGGTGATACTAGACTTATAATATTTACTCTAGTTCGTCCGATGAGTTTCAATGCTTAAGTGTGATACGACTTTGCCGAGTTTGATTAGGGATATGAAATATAAAAGGGAACGAGGAGCTAAAAAAATTTTCCTCGTACACCCACCTCGTCGTCCGTTCAAAGCTCCTATATTGTCAACTTAATTTTCGGCTTCACTATCTCTCTTGGCAGTGTGGCTTTGGCTGTGATCACGGTTAACACGTAAGTAACGGATTGATGGCGTGCCTATGCTTCGCTTGGCAAGAGCTTTCGAGAAACAGATACGGAGAACAGTAACCGCAGCGATTACTCGAGTACTATAACACCTCTGCAGAACCCGGAGAACGGCCCTGCCATCATGTTACCCCTAGTACCGATCCTACGAAACTACGATCTTTCGCCGGAGTATGGCTTCCTGCCTCCAGAGCTACCACTCGAGACCTTACCCGACAGGTACTATACGGAATGGGAAGCAATCGTGGCAGATCTGCAGCCGTTACTACTTAGAAAGTATATTCGATCCGCGATTGATCGCCTTCCTTGCCTCTCCACAGACTATCTAAAGACGGTTGCCGAGTGGCGTCGTGCATATGTGATCTTGGTGTTCTTGCTCCATAGCTATGTTTGGGGTGGGGATCACCCAGCCGAGGTATGGGGTTCCGCGAACACGGCTTTTCCTCTGAAATCTACCACTGAGGTAATGAGAAGATATTCATTAACTGAGACCAATTTCTCTTTGACAGAAGATCCCGCCGCAGCTAACAGTCCCCTTATTTCAAGTGTGTAAGCGCCTAGAGGTGCCTCCCGTAGCGACCTACGCGGGAGTCTGTCTTTGGAACTACAAGCCAATCTTCCCCGACGAGCCTACCAAGAACCTTGAGAATCTCGCGTGCCTGCAGACATTCACCGGGTCTCTCGATGAACAGTGGTTTTATTTGGTGTCAGTGGCAATCGAAGCACAAGGTGCCCCAGCACTTCCCCTTATGCTCCGGGCAATTACGGCCGCTCGCGCCGGCGACACGTGCCAGGTCACAGACTGTTTACAGCAAGTTGCAGAGATCATCAGCAAGATCACCTCGATCTTACAACGTTTATATGAAAATTGTGACCCTAATTATTTTTATCGCCGTATTCGGCCCTATTTATCGGGCAGTAAGAATATGAGTGAGGCAGGCTTGCCCCACGGTCTGCTGTACGATGACGGGACCAACCGCCCAGTGCATCGCCAGTACGGTGGTGGGAGCAATGCGCAAAGTTCACTGATTCAGTTCTTCGATATTGTCTTGGGTGTAGAACATCGTCCGACCGGAATCACCCACAACGAACAGAAAAAAGGTCCACTTCAAGCACGGCAAAGTCGCGCACCGGATTTATCCATGAAATGCGCGACTATATGCCCGGCTCCCACCGTCGGTTCTTACAAGATGTCGAAGCAGTTGCGAACATTCGCTCATATGTTGATGATCGGCGCACGGATTTTGCTTTGCAATTCGCGTACGATACCTGTCTGTCAATGCTACGAGAGATGCGCGACCAGCACATTCAGGTCGTTTGCCGCTACATTGTTGTCCAGTCCCGTGTAAACCAACAGACACCGCCGTCCGGTACACATCCTATGGTGATAAATTCAGCTACTATGGTTCCGGAAGATCGCAAAATGCTTCGTGGTACAGGTGGCACAGCGCTCATTCCCTTTCTTAAACAAGCCAGGGATGAGACAGCGGAGCCTGTCATCGATGCAAGGGCGCGACGACTGCTGCGCCACAAGCCCGGTTCACTCGAACCGGCCTCGTTGAGTAAGGTCGGAGAGCAACCGGATGATCATCCTCAACTGGTTGATCCCTGCGGGACATGGACGGCTGGCCATAGCGAAGGTGGCATCTGCCGCTGGTGAGATATGGTTGGTTGATGGTGAGGCCTGCTATACTGCCTGGGCTACGCCCTCACCACCTGGGACCACCAACCTCAGTAGTATAGCTTGGCTTCCTTCTTCCTCCTCTCCTCTCTTCTTCTAGTCAACGCTGAGTGTTTTCACCTTTCAGGTTTTTCCTTCGTAGGATCCTGCAGTCAAACAGTGGTTGAACTACCACCGTTATGACAATTGGAGCATGCATTGTGCTTGTGCCTTTAATGTATATTGTCTTTCATTGTAATTGAGAGCATTGAATGAAGCCAGTATACTATTGCCCGTGAGGCGCTCGAAAGCGATTCGGGATATCATAGCGGAGATGCAGCGGGTCTCGGGTGTATACGTGGGCCACATGGCTCATCTGGAATCTCTGACTTGAGGCTAATCTCCGCTGCTGTGTGTAATTTTCATGTTCATTCATGTATGATCGCGGTCGGGACAATTGTATCTTAATGACATAATGAGAGGGTAACGCGGGCAAAAACTGATTGCGATGCCCGAAATCAACAAGCCTTGTCTTTCAGAGCCGACTATGCTGAGTGGTTCTATTGCGTGCGCTCGACAACACGTGAATCCTTAAAGCCTTAACTAGAGCTTCCAGATCCTGAGATTTCAACCCCAAGAGCCTTCTTTTACTCCAAGGATACCACCATCATCATTCGCAAACCCATTTACTGTTGATCATCTCTGAATCAACAACAACGCATCCCCTCTCGGTTCCTCCATGAGGTAGACCACCGACACCGCTCGGCGTGTCCTTTGATGCCGATATCGCAAACTCCTTGGCGGATGTGGGCTTCCAGTACTTTATCTGCCATTTGAACGTTCCTAGTACTTGAACTGCGCATCGCTTATTTAGTTATGTCTTATCTCCCTCATAGCTTAAGGCGCCGTCTTAAAAGACTGGCCGGGTACTCAAGTACTCAGTATTGCATCTCCCACACTATTACCTATATCAGTAACTTTGTCGTCGACCAAAAACCCAGTTTTGTTGATAAAAACAATGAAAAAGAAATCCCACCACCCCGACAGCGAGACCAGACCATTATTTTTGCCAATGTTCCATCGAAAATCTTATCAGACATCAAGGTCCTCGTGACGCCAGCACCAAGCAGAGCGGGCCTGGCAAGGCAGATTGTTGATGCTGTTGTGTGCGCTCGAATTCAGGGAAAAGACTATCCTGTTGTTGTGTAATATTATCTTCTCTTCTTCCTAATCTTCTACACAGGTTTAACCACAGCAAGATAATACCTCATCTGGCCTCCATTTAGTACAGAGTTAGATATCAATGACGACACATTGCAGTATCTCTTTTTACCACCCTCGAGCCTTTGTTGACCAAGACGCGGGACTGAATCCCTATAACGTCCAGCTCGTACATATCTGTAATGAAAATACGTAGTTCTAGTTATACATAAGACCTTGCAATATGTGTCCGTCAAAAGGTCCGAGGAAGCTCGCTTTACTGCCAGATGTCTGTCTATTTATTAGTATATGTAACTTTTGAGCTGGAGCCATATGTTCGTTTCCACCGAGTCCGAGAATGACCTGGCCTTTACAGTCATGGACCCTACTACAGGATTCCGAGCTGTAAAGATATTTACCGTTGGATCAAAGAAGCATCAGACGGACGGCGACCTCGGTACGCGGGAACCTTAACGTATACGTGTATGTTGTGGGAACTAGAGGAGTCTCTACCGGATTCCGAGATTCAGCCTTGAAAGCCGACCTCGTAAACTTGGACTTTCTACCCAGCCAACAGGTTATCCGGTCTACGACACTAACCCCCTAACATTAGGTTTACACATTGTCTTTCACCGCGAGGTAGTACAGTCGCGACGAGGAACAGCCCAGCAAATGGTGTGGGCTTATGGCGCTTGTTGAAATGTTGAACAGTGATTTGGTATCTGCCCCCTACCCGCCAGCGGTTTCTATATTGCAGTCTACCGAGACACTGCAAGCATTGCAGTGCAGCTCCAAGCGTCTTCTCTCGTAGGTAATTTCTCATGTATCAGTGAGCCCTACCTGGCACACTGATTGTCTACAGGGATATTGCCATGCTGAGTAGAGCAATCTTGAAAGTGTCAGGTTCTCACAAGCTTGAAAATCAGATTCCTGCAGCACGTGGACCGAGGACGAGACAGACTGCGGAAAGTACGGGTCGCTAGATTTGATTAGTGTCGCACCTATTCGGTCCACTGCAGATCTTCACCAGATGAGCTAATTGAATCAGCTCTAGTGCTAGGCATGTCATTTGGACATCAAGAGGTCGATGGTGGGGGGCACCTATGCGCGAGAAACATGCTAATGTTTGGACCGAGACTGAAAGGTGGCCTATTATGTTGCTCAAAGCTCAGAAATGTGCGAGAGAGGATCTATCTGCCTTCAAAACCTACTCTGAACAGGTCAGACGGCGATTTCATGTCCTTTTTGTCCGGTGCATGCAAGTTCCCAACAGCTCATCAAGCCTCTTTTTCCGAGTAAGGTATGCTTTCAACAAGAGATAATTATATGAAATACAAGCGATGACTCATAGATTGATGGAAGGTACCATGTGTTACTAGTCTAGCTTCCGACACTGTCCACGACTTACGATTAATCGTCAACCTCATGCGTAAAATGGCAGTCTGTTACTCTATTTGATGTGACGAGATCTCTAGTGACTATATAAAAAGTGCCACGAGTGGATATGGATGTAAATTTACCGCGGTACCCCACGGATCTTACGGCGGCTGGCGCGAGTGACTTGACAAACGCTAGCAGACGCCGAGACCGTGGTGGGTGCTGCTGAGGTGGCAGTGGGTGTTGCTGTTGTGGTTGTAGAGGGCATCGCCACTTGCTTGGAACTAACCACGGAAGAGCCAGCGGTCGTAGTCGCCGTTGCACAATCAAGCTTCCCGTTGTTACTTTTGCAATATTCGTCTACGGCCCGAATCAGTAAATGTGCGGATGGGTTATGGAAACTCCATCGAGATCAGTCAGTACTTACTGAGATCGATCAGTATCGGAGCATCGCTGCCGTCGCAGGAAACGCCCATGAAATTCTTTTTCGCACGGAATCTGCACGATTCAGCCGCGGCGCCCCTTTTACCATTCAGCGTCAGCAGCCTCTCAGGAACAGAATTAATCGAGCTGACAATGCATCAGGCTGTAACATACTTTTTCTGGGGTTTGATATCGTTTCCATCGTTCACCCAATTAGCGTTTATGTTCTGGCTACAAGCCTTGTAGTCGCCTGTACGTAATAGACATTTACATGTCAGAGTCGGGTCAGTTCCATCGATTCTACAGTCAGTGATTCCCAGAGAAGTATCGGCAAGAGTGCCACGTAGAGCGATGATAGAAAGAACGATCAGAATGTTGAGCATCTTGTGAATTAATACTTGCTCAGACAATCGGATCTTGCACCTGGCATGAAAACACGAAGACTTCTGTGATATTTAATAGAAATCGTTAGCACGAGCTAAAGGACTGATTGGGAACATGAGCCACAAATAGACAACGAGGTCGATTTCGCGGTCTACCTAGTTGAATGTCACTGATCCAAGTGTACGTAGAACGGCCCTTCAAAGTGGACGCACTGCGAATGAACTTCGGGGTCCAGTGTATTGCGCTACTAAACTCTCCTCTTCCCTAGCCGTGCATTTAATTTTGGAATTGCACAGACACCTCAGTGCCGGTGTCCATAATTAGTTCCTAGTATGAACGTAGGTGATTTTGAGCTTTCTGGCAGATCTGTGCTGAACATAATACAGGTGGCACACCTCAGTACAGTATCTCAAGGCTCATTCTTATTCAGGGTCTGCCCGACGGGTTTATACGGTCTGACAATATCAGACCCAACTCTCATGCTGCCACATATAATCGCACATGCGCCAGGATTTCCAGGAAATACATCAAATTGCACATCGCACAGAAGACATACATATCTCATACTAGTCTAATTCTATGTTCTGTCTTCAGTAGGGGATAAAAGTTGTGATACGTTCCAGCTACTAAGAAGAAGTTCCAGCTCTGGTAGTAGACCAAGTTAATTACTGATAAAGATGCCATTATTATTTATGTGCCAGAAGACCGGAAAATCTAAGTTACCATCGAAACCTCTTAGCTTTACGCTAGGATACTATGAATAGCATCAGTACCCCATATCATATTGTCTGATGCTGGTCAAGACCAAATGATTTTATTTATAGCACACAACCTGCGCCTGGGTGCCAAGAGTAGGTAGAAGGTATAAGATATAGAATCAAATGATGAAGTCGACAATTTCCATTTGAAATCGGCAAATTTGGTTGCACGTAACAACATGATATCCTGGAACATTTATTTTAACGGGAAGCATATTCGAACTTGGCGTCAACGAGAAAGGCCGCAACGACACTGCATAACTAGAGTTGAAAAAAAAATCATCTCTAAACGACGGCTAGGTGCTCGAAGGACGGCAGAGTCTACGTGCTGTTGCCGAAGAAAATCATCTACACGGACACTCTCCGAAATCCTCTTCAAGATTATTGGGCACGCAGTATTGAGACAGACTACTCGACATTCGTCACAAGCGCAATGTAAGACGGTCTCGGCTGTGACCGACGGAGAATAGCCTTTTTGAGCTGGCAGACTTCTGCTGCGAGAGCCGATATTAGATAACGCCATGTTGATCCAAAACAACACCAAAAACGCGAAACGGCAACATCGATATTCACTGGCCGACCAGGCGAAGCAGGGGCATGTTACGAAACCTGTTGTGAATATGGCAGGACTGACCAGACTCAGGATGAGAGGGAGGATGGGACATGGGAGGATGGGACATGGGAGGATAGGAGACACGCGCGACACGCCTACCACGTGTGCCACGCGCACAACACGCACCATCTCAAAACCCAGGATGAACTGTAGTCCCTTCTCTTTTCTTTTTCTTCTTCTCTTCAGCCTTTGAGATTCTTGGTACCACGCAGTCAAGTTAGAATAAGAGTTTATGAGTCCTTCTGAAGCTTTTCCATTCTCGCGTACAACAAAACCCGTCGAGCGCAGACAGACATGCTAACTCAATGTATCCGAACACGCCAAAAACTGTACATACTTCCCACTTCGGTATGTCTAATACTGACCAGGAACTGTTTCTCGGGACTCAGGAGTCGCACAGTCACTGGGAAGCGTGTGCGCAAATCTCAAAACCTCTCATTAGAATTAGTTTATTCAAATCGTGTAGATTCTTCTGAGGTTCCCAAAAAAATAGCCTAGGGCTATTTGTATAGTAATGGATCTATACATACGATACTAGATCATTTGTAGGTGAAAAAATGAGTTAAAGAATAAAGCGCTAAGGGGACCGTGCTTGATCACGAAATGGTATCTACTCGGGCTAATGACATATGTTTGACCTAGCACACCCCGAGATACCATCAAAAGCGAATACGAGATGCATGCACGTAAAGTCAATGGGAAGGGGTAAGTGAGAACCTGGAAAGGGACAATAAATTTCTCTCGTAAATACAGAATTTTCCCATCTAATTCAGCTAGAAGTTAGAACCGCCATTCTGAAGACTCCTTGTTTCCATAATGAGGCGACAAGACGACTACAATGTAACCGTTCCGTGCAGACATAGGATATATTATAAAAAGTAATGCGATCTATGTTGGTAGATCACATGTAGAATTTGCTGTTCCGGGGTTACACTGACCCACCCCTCAGCTCGAACCCCGCACATACTTGAAATCTAAGATACAAGTTCTGCACGTGTAATGTGCCGCTATATTAATATCTTGTTACTATGATAATGAGGCGAAACTATCAGCATTGCCAATTGACAGCTCTGAAGACGATATAGCGGGGCTCATCAATGAAAGTCTTTGGAACCATGATGAATGGAGTCGCTACTAGCTCTGTGAGACGCCTGACATTGGAAGATTTTTCACGTAAGAGACTAGTGGCACCTATTCGGGGTCCAAAGCAGCTGACACAGATTGAAAGGCCAGCATACTGATTGAAATGAGGGACCGTTCGATCGAGTATGAACTCTGCAATCCTCGCCGGTGGGCAGTTGTATTGTATTGTTTTCTTGATTTCGTACTCGGTCTCGTGACGAGATGTCGAAATTCGTAGTAACGAAGTGATCAATACAAATACATAACGTATCAGGAGTATTCTGTCAAAACCTGACTTTTAGCTTCCCGCATACCTTCCGGCTTCAACCGTGGAGCTTTGAACACCTACCACACCACCAAAATGCGGTCTTTCGGCACCGAAATTAGTGCAAATCGAAGGCCGAAAGCTCAATTATTGACTGACCAGCGTGCTGAAATCCTTACCGCGTTGGAGCTTGGTGAGCCTGTATCTAAGATTGCAGCTAGATTTGGCTATACGCGCCAGACTGTCTACCATACACGCGACCGGTGGAATCAATACCAGACCTGAAAATCTGTACCTAGATCTGGCGGTCCAAGGAAATTCGGCAACTATACTGAACGCTATATCTATCGATTAACACGAAAGCATCCTACTTGGAGCTATAGAGTCCTAATCAGCGATCTACTTCATTCGATCTCTAAGTCAACAATCAAGCAAATTTACGAATATACAACCTTTGAAAGTGGAAATCTAAGAAAGGTATCCAACTTATAGCTTAGGATGCACGAAAAAGGCGGCTTTTGTACGGAAATAGGTGGATTTTGACCGATGGGAGGGTGTCATATTATCCGATGAATGTTCGGTCCAACGCGGCTCGAGTTCGACTGTACAATTTGTGTTCCGCTTCTAGAACGAGACCTTCCGAATGGATCTAGTTAATCTAGACGTCTACGGACGTGATATTTTGTAGATGGTATTCGCAACAATCTGGATTGGTGGCCGATCAGATCTAGTGATCATGGAACGTGATACGACTAGTGGTTATACCCCAAATTCATATCTTAAGGCTTTTGATAATGGTCTAATTCCGTTCTACGAATCTGAATTACCTATCAGCAAGATAATACGCCAACTCATGTCTCTGGGCCAGCGAAGGAGTGGTTTGAAAAGCATGGAATTCATATGATGGAATGGCCGCCGCATTCGCCAGATCTGAACCCAATTGAGCCGGTCTGGGCCCTACTAAAGCGCGAGCTTTTCAGGCGATACCCTCGCCTAGCCAGCCGGCGCTGGCGCCAGATTGATACTGCTGAATTTCATACGGCTTTGAAGGATTCATCGGCGCATATAAATCAAGACTCTATAGATCCTCTGATTCGAAGCATGGAACGCAGAATCTCGCCTTTAGGCGCAGTGCAAGGCTGGTATACTAAATATCAGTATATATGATAGATAATTGATCGTGCCATTATATCGCAGATTTTGAAGCTTTGGAGTCTTATATCAATAGTGCAATCTTGAATCTGGTGCAGCTTGGTTGATGTGGTAAGATTAGGTAATTGCGGGTGCTAGAATGCTCCTGGACTTTGACTGTATTTCTAGTCGAATGACTTTCTTGGCGTGGTACGTATCTTCACTTGAAAGAAAGGGGTATCATGCGGAAGTGCTGGCAGATCGTTCTCGGAGCGACTGAAGTGGTCAATCTGGCTGGATGAATAACGGGTTGTTTGCTTTCTTCGCGCAGCTGAAGGACACGAGTATGTAGTATTTTGTTCTCCATTTTCTGAGGCCGTTAGGTAGGTCGGAGACGAAATTCCTCGAACTCTAGGAAGATATACAAATCGAAGAGCTTTTTCTGCCAAGTGAACCGCTTGATGATAAGTACAGTATGCCCATGCCCAGCCTCCGAAAACAGAATGAACTGAGTCGAGCTCAATCACAAGTCAGATCGGCTGCCTTTGAAGAATTTCTTACAGCAACCGACATCTAATCAGCCTGCTCTTTTCTGGATTTCTAGAATTAGTGATTTCTGTACTTTGGCACCTGTGACTGTTGTCAAAAACGGGAGGCACCATCTCTCAATATAGACCATGATGTCATAATTCAAAACAAATAGATAGTTACTTCCTACCTCTGAGACCCCGGACGTTTATGGCAGGTTACGTATAAGATCCGAATGCGGGATACCGCAGGAAAGCGGATGCAGGATCGACTCTCTATAGACAGTTGCTGTGACGGGTTAGGGGGATACCGAAGGGAGATACCGAACTTTGATTTCTTCTGCAGAAGAAATCAGTATCGGAAGGGAGATACCGTAACCACGCGTCTGCGTGGTAAAGAGAAGGATGAAGGCATATTCCGATGAACTCACCACCTCAATACCTTCTGCAGATTAGATTTCTCTTTCCATTCCCCCCTCAGGCTTTCGGACCTTAGTTGAATGCACAAGTTGATTTCGAGCTTTTTGGCACGTAACAGTTGCAAGACAAACTACTTATCAGGTGATTTGGCTCAGACATTTTGGCCTACCGGCAACACCGATGTCTAGGATGGTTCTACAATATCAAGATTCGGGGGCAACAGTAGGTGTTTCTTCTACTCCGCTGATTGATCTAGTCTCCGGAGCTAAGAATTGAGATAGAGCCTTGAATTTTCAACTGGACGATTTAGCACCTTTCCGTCTTTCGATGCAATAAACCCTTTCAAGTATATTCCTAAAAATTTGAAACTCCGGGATCAATCTCGCTCTTCCCATTATTGGCCGTGGGTTACAAATCGAAATTGTTGTTAGGCATGGCCGACGAAGTGCTAGATCGGTGAAAATGAGATTTTCGTTTTCGGACATACTGTATAGCAGCATACCCTGGGAAGACACTGTGTCTTTATCAGTGCCGTCTATGTAGCTGGCGGCAAAATACGAGGACGCGGCACATAGCCCGCTTTCACGTAAGTAGTATCCATTATTGTGTAGATGGAACAGATGAATCAAAGGACCTCGTTGAAATAAAACTACTGTGTCTTCAAACATGACTTTTCCACGACTGGATTGAGTCATGTTCCGGATAGTCAACACCACGCATCCTGTGCTGGATATTGGAAGCAAGAGGATTACTACCAAGTCCTTCGACTTAAACCCAGTAACAGAGTGTTGTGGAAGGTGATATAGAAGGATGCAAGCAACTACAATGATCAGAGCTGACGTTGGGAAAGACAGTTACATATCGCCAACCCTTTCCATATCGGTCGGAACTTTCTAGCACTTCAGACATAGCGGAACAAACGGCAATCATAAGAATCATCCTAGGGTCATGGCGGCATAGAGAAATCTTTCATTTCGCTGCTGTCATTCCCTCTGGTTCAGGAACTACCGCCTTTGAGTTGGGGGTCACTTCGGCCGGCGGGACCTTTTCTTCATTTGCAGACCTGGTCTCGTTCGTCGAAGGCCGCTTTCGAAATATCCATGCGGAAAGACCAATTCCGAAGCTCAGTAACACGGCCGAATAGATTGCCATCCAAGCACCATTCCCCCGCCTGGTTTTACTCGAATACCAGCAGACCATTCCGACGAGCATTTCGATTATCGATAGTGCGGGGAGCACCAACGGCGACCACGCTATCGCCATGTCTCGTCGTACGATATCAGAGGGCTCCTCAAATTGAAATGGTGCCATTGTGGCAGTAACTTCTGACATCATCGCAGTCAATATAGAGCCACAGAGGTAAGATTCAGCTGCGCGCGCTAGATCAGACAACGTTGGATGAAACTCATCAAATGTCAAAGCGCCCACAGCAATCGCACAGACTAAAACCGCAAGAGCAACAAAGGTCTTGCAAAATCTTTGCAATCTCCAAACAATCTGTCTCGCTCCGCAATCAAGCCGCTTGTTCCACTGTATAGACACCTTGCTCCTATGATGTACTCAGTATCATCACTCACTCGAAATTTTCTCTGACACTAACCTGGCGGAATAGGTAAAGGTGTCTTGAGTACCAGGTCCACCTTTCTTTTTCTGGAAATCCATACGAACTTCAGCTGACAAGATTTTGAATATTTGGGAAAGCGAATCTCTGTTCGTGAGTCATTCTTAATGGAGTTTCAAAATACGCATAGTTCAATTCGACTCGGAGCTGCTTGTAATAGACCGGAAACTGACCGTGTCCGAACAAAAAAATTCAAAATTGGAGAAAAAATCTTCTTTGATGGTGCAGGGGCGGGCTAAATATGTACACGTAGCCGAGTATAAAGGGCGGAGAGCACTACTTTCATCCACCCATCCAACCCGGCTATTTTATTTCTACTCTATCGTTGAGAGACGAGATCGCCATATTCTTACGTAAGGAAGAGCTGGGTCATACTTCCAATATACCTTTAAGACTCGTTAGCGTTGATATAATAATGCCTGAAACAAGAGAGTTCTTTCCAGTTCCATATACACTGGTCTCGACTTATGGGTATGTATTTGGTATAGTGAATTTCCGCAATATATGACAGGAACTAATTTTGTGTCTCATTTGACACAAGTGAACCGGCGATGATTTTGTATTTTAGAAAATGGTAAAAACAGTCTGTTAATTGCTCTAGTAACCTTGAATTATCGATATAACATAATCGTACAACTAGCTCGGTGTCAAGTCATGTATATTTTCCTGGATGCTAAGTATACGTGAGTGTTAGACTAGGTATCACCTTCATCAACGAACATGTCATTGAGGTCAATATGGCGGATGATTTCCGGTGAGAAGTGGGGAGGACAGTAACTAACTTGGGCAGCAGCAACCCTAGTCAACACATTGCTCAAATAAACAGTCGTCTACGTCTCAATCTCGTTGATTGCGATCAATGGCCAGCAATGAAAATCACTTATCTACTGGTTTGAAACAGTGACGAATTTCAAGCCAATCTCAGGGACTTGCGTTTGGGAAGTCACTACCGCCACGAGGGTTTTACGAAACAATCCCTGCCATATGCTTCAATTCTCAAGAAACTGGTCGACTCCTGAGAAAATGATCAAGTCTTATTGCTATACAGAACGGCATTGGCTTCTTTTCAGACATCATATGGTTTGCCAATTCTAATCCACAATTCTGCTATCTTGGTGCATAACATACGGCCCGTGGGTTCTCAGTGGTGCACAATCACAACGCCCATCATGCTAGTACATATAATCAGGACATGAGCATCTGGATTTATGATTGTCACCAGCTAGACTCCAGGGCGGAAAACGCTGGCAGAACATGGGCTATTGTTAAGGCACCTGGAATTAGACGTGCATTACCTGATAATTGCTCTGTGCCAATTGGTGGGAGGTAGCTGATCGTTATTTCAGGAGACCTTAGCTCTGAAGGAGAAAAACAAGGTGGACAAGGTGAGGGTGAGACAAACAATTCTTTTTCCAGAATGGAAGCTTTCACGTCCATCTTATGTATCTTGTTTTTTCGGGTAGTCTTGTCCCTTTCGATCTCGACCCCTTCTGCAAAACCGCCAAACTTGTTTGTGCGGCCATTTTCTTCTATTCAAAATCAAAAGACATTGCCTAGGCGACCTACGACAAAAGAAACCGTCAATGTGTGTATTTAGTAAAACGGAGGTGATATTCAATAGAGAGCACAGGGCAGCAGAAATAAAGGTCAATTGATATTCGCACTTTTCCGCCAGATCTTCAATAACTAGAGAGGACAATTTATGGAGGGGGGAGGACTGCCGCATTGAAGATAGGGGATTTGTTAGCCAAGACTATGGAGACCCAATCAAGCGGCGAGTTTCATAGCAAGCCTAGAGAAAGCACTTGCAGTACGCCGCATACCTTGTGTTATCCCTGATAACGATCATGTGCTAAACTTGATATAATATGCTGTCGAGGCTTTCTGTTAGAGTGAACGTCAAGTCTCCAAATCGAGGTCTCTCATCCTACTGGTCTACATTTGACCGGCCACACAATCCTCAGTTCAGTACTCTCTATAGCCATAGATAATGAACTGCAATATTTTTGAACGAAAACTATGTGCGCGTGAGTTGCACTCGTGACTGGCCTTCAGATCTTTATTTGGGGCCCTAACACGAAAGAAGGATCGCGTCGCGCGCGAGGCTTGCTTCGACACGGGCCAAGGAAGCGCAGCCTCTCTGTTTGTTCGCTGGTAATTGGTATGGGTTTACTACACAATTGCTCTCAGAACATTGTGATATGCCGTTGAGTCTGAGTCTGGTTGGTATCGGTATTAAGAAAAGTCAATGTAGGACTCTGGCAACATCGCCGGAACCCCTCAGGAAAGAGGATGTTTGCCAGGTCTATACATGGAGCTGAGATTTGTTGGAAAGTCAGGAATTTCAACCTCCATCTAAGAGCGAAATTATGAGCTGTGATAGGAATGTAATGGGTTCTGTGGGGTTCCGAGCTCTGACATGGGTCTGATATCAAAACCAAGTCTCAGAAGAAGATCGTATTCTCGCTTCATTTTTTTTCCTGGTTGGCCAAGTAAATTTACGGAGGATATACCTAAGTTCCAATCAAGACTCTCAAGTATGATGATTTCCCATCTTGCCATTTCTCCTCTTCTTCTCGAGACCCATTTTTGCAGAGCAGGTGTACGTTTCCCGCACCGGCGGATTACTAAGCATGAAGGATAAGCTATTGTACTGTTCGGATTTAACCCATTGTCACTCACCCTTTTGTGATATAGCCCAGCAAGCTATGAGAAAGTCCATTCTTTGCTTCCTGTCAATATTTGTTCCTAATCTGGTCCGTAACACCCGGATACAAAGGTGAGAGAAATATAATATCACGGCATAAGAGCTTTCATCGGTCTCATCACAAAGTTCATGAATCAGTCTGGGAAGATAAACACGAAGCTGATGAGTTCTGTCGCAGCGATGACCTGTAATAGCGGCCCACTCTGTGCAGATATACTGGTCGAGGGGATTGTTTAACAAGGTTATTCGCAACAGCACTTAGCTGATCATGAAGTACTTACCTGAGCAGCCGCGTGTTGGCATCTTAATACAAGCTGTGTGTACATCTCTCGCTTTGTACGAGTGTCAAGGCACATGGTATCAGGTACGCTTGTTTTAGAGGGCCAAATAATTTCGACGAGCAGCCGTGATACTGTCAAGTCTATATGGTTCTGGATGATACATTCTCAAGGGAGCAATACTATCCCACGTGCCAAATAACAGCGGAGGTATCATCAAGACTGGATATTAATAGCTCAGATTTCGGACTAGTTGGACGGGCATGCAGGACAACCATTCGCGCGAGGGCCTCCTAGTGGTTCAATTTATATTTTTATCTCGTCTACCATGTGCACTATTCATTACGCCGTGAGCTCTAGGCGCTCGTTCCCCACGCGTCGTATTTGTTTTTTTGAAGCAAACCTTGTATTTCATGTTTTAGGCTAACTCACCAGAGAGAGGATGTATGGTAGACTTCGATACATGATAGCCAAGAACATCGTCCACGGAGGTCCATGAAGCTCAGTATGGGGAAGCGGGGTGGAATCACGCATCCCAAATTTCTATGCATGATATGAATAGCATCTGAGATAGGCGATGGAGACCCGACAGAAAACAAGAACGCCGGTTAGGTGGCTGAAGCCTATGGATTCTGTTAAGCTGACCGGGCGCATCGTCGCAAAGTATGCAGTCGCCTTGTATGCCAAAGACGCTAAGAGAAAGCAGAAATTCTCGCAAGCCGCATAGATTCGTTTTCATCATCTTCGCAGTCTTTATTGATCGATAGAAATGATTGAAATGTTTCAAGTGAAGCCTACACCGAATAGCCATCACATGCACAAAAGTTGACAAAGTTCACTTCCTATTGCAAAAAATACAATCTGTCAAAACACGCGTCAAGATATGAGACGCCGGAAATGCAACATGATCTATGTCACAGACCCGCTCTAAAATGGCCGCAAAACAACAACTGGGGTGACACGTTTCGCGGGGCTACAGGCTCCTAATGCAGTAGCCGGGTATGCCCCACAGTTCACTAGATCACCAAGAATGAATCATGAAAATTCAGCCGGTGGATGACACCTTCAACATTGACCCATCGACATATCAAAGCAGTATCATTCTTTCAAATTCATCAAACACTTATATCGTACTTTAATTACAATTAGAATTTATGTGGAACTTGAACCCGAATCTGACTCATCCTGACTAGTCCGTGCCTTACAGGCCATGGGGCCCCTAGGGAAAATGTGAAAGTGTCTTTTTTGTATTGCATGTCTTTCCTACACAAATATAGTAATAGCTCTATGTTTTAGTTATGGTGTTTAATCTGCCCGCTGAAAGACCTCGAAATTGATACAGTGTGTGACGCATAGGCAAAGGCCAACAGGCAAACTGGTGAGTCGGTTGGCCAGTTAGTGGAGAAGGTCTTGGAGAATTGAAGAGGAGCCCACGTGACTAATGTTTGTGTTCACGACAGCCAGGTGATCGTGTTCTATTTGTGATGTGCTGTGACCTTTCACACGTGGGAGCGTAGAGGCCTGAGGATTTTTTGCTTTTCTGTTTACTACCATGCGGAACCTTCCATGCGGGTCTTGCCATGGGGATCTGCCGCCTTGCCGCCGCCCCATCCCACGATGAGTATTTAAAGCTCGACTTCGCCTTCTTCGATGAGATGCTTCATTTGCTTTTTCCTCCTCGTCTTGATTACTTCGTTGCATAGGACACAGTTGCTTCACCCTCTTCTTTCTATACGTAGGTTCTTGTAGCTGTACTGCCTGGGAGTCACCATAGTGGGGAGTGGCGCACATCGATCACCCTAGATCGGGCGGCTGACTGACCATGAGCATTCAAACGGTGGATCGTCTAATATAGGAAACTTGATAATGGTAGAGACTAGTGGCCATCATTGAGGGTTCATCGAGCAGATATAGAACACCCATTCCTGAAGTCAGGAGTTTTAGGCATGTTGTTGCGAACATGGGACCGGGCAACCTCAGGATGCGAGAAAGAACATGGGAGGACATGGACACGCCCACCACGTGTGCCACGCGTACTGTTACGAGTTGACGGGAGTTAGCGGACTTGGACTGCGGACTTGGATTTCTTCTGCAGAAGAAATCAGTATCGGAAGGGAGATACCGTTAACCACGCGACCCTACGCGCACCACCTCAAAATTTGGGATGTACTGTAGCTTCTTCTTCTTTCTCTTTTTCCCCTCCAGCCTTTGAGATCCTTGAATACCACGCAGACGGTTGAATTAAAGTTAATGAGTTCGTCTAAAGCTTTTCGTAAATGGCGTACAAAACATGTATTAGCTCTAGAATTCCCACAGGTGTCCGTGGAGCAAGGTACTATGAAATAAACGATAACTGATTTAATGAGCCATTCGCAGTTTCACGATATGAATTACTTATATTTCGACATACATGGCTTGATCTTTGTGTGACAAGCATCATGACTGCTGGCGGAATCAACCAGATAACTTCACTGTCGGGCAGGCCCCGGGGCCCGTGAAAACACGCAAGCACACTGACCTGTAGAGTTTCCCGTTAGTTTATCTATCGTTTCCATGGTTTGACACTTGCAATACCGGCTACTGGCAGATTTCGTGTTATCCAAAACCAAAAAGCCGGTCCTGCGCACACAACTTCACGCCGCTCACCTATAATTTCTGAAGATCACCCTGCTTTGAGATTTAGCGCTAAAGTGAACTATGATATGAGTCCTACATAGTATGTAGCTATCTTTGGTCTTTTCTTATTGGTCTCGTCTTATTTAGAGGAAATCAAGATTTCTACAAAATGACGTACCAGCTTAGGTACAGGCCTCAATCCCGCGTACTCAATGAACCCACCCACCGTACTGAGTATAAGTCATCTTTTATCTAAAGTTTGATATTGGTAAGGATATAGCAAACAATACGGTAAACAACTTAATAAAGGTATATTCAAGATGCTAGGCTCGATCAACTTACTAAGCAGTAAGCTTTCCATTTATTCATCACGTCACAGTCAATATTGTTTCGTTAAAAAATAGAAGGTAACTGAAATAAGAACATCTTTTATTTCTACTGTCACTTCGACAAGTCAGTGATCTAAATTCCGTGGGTCCAATCACACCTCATTGACCACCGTCGGCCCTTCAACAAATACAATAATACACTAGCTTATACAATGCAACAACGCTTCCTCAGTGTCATATTCAGAAACGTAAGGGAAACGGCATAGGGAGTTTTGATACTTTATGCAAACTGGAGCTGAACCAGGAGGTAGGTCTCGTGGCTATTGCTCGCCCCGAATCAATTTTCCGCACCTGCAACTCGTGGTTGCTTAGGAGACAAATGGCAGCTTCAGAAATGAGTTTTAGATCAACCCTCTCCACCCCGTCAATGATCAAATCCAGGTTGTTTTTCGTTTCGGTCAATAGCAGTGTTTCCATCCAGTCGATCTTCTGCTCGAGATGGCGGTTCTTCTCCTCAAGTTTATCAATATGGTACTCACGACGCTGTAGTTGCTGTTGTAAGACATCCACAGATTCTACGAGCGGTGTTGGCATATTTTTCTTGAGCTCTTTGTTCTCAATCTGTAGCTTCTTGTTGTCGCTTGTGGCGTGGTTGATGAATTTGCGAAGCCGAAGCATGTTTACCTCGGAGTTTTTTTTACACTTCTCGAGATTGACAACCTTAGCTTCAAGATTGTGGATCTCCATTCGATACTGGGTAAGTCTGTTACCAAGTTCAGAAATTCTTTGTTCCCTTCCAGCGTTGTATTGAGTGTTTTTTTCTCTCAGGTGTTTTTGACAAGCTACCCAATCTGCCTTAGCGCGGTGAAATATTTTCTTCACTTGAGCCGTTTGCGATATGAGGCGTTCAGCTGCTCTTGCTTCCTCACAAAGCGTGTGGCTGGCTTCGGTGAAGGGGTTTACTCTCAAATCATCAATATCAGTATTAGAAGCATGTACCCTGTCATCGTTGGTGTTGTATATTACTTCCAATGCGATATTGTTCCATTCAATCAGGCTTTGTGATAGTTGATTTACTAATCCTCGCTCGGGATACCATTCTCCCACAGACGGCGTATAGCGCTGTCTCGTGCCGGCGATCACAGAAGGAGAGGCTTTATATGCCCATGGAACAGATGTGTTTGTGCTGGGTTTCCGTTTATCCTTTTGAGGGATACAAACTATTATTGCATGCTCTTCCCCAAAAGGAACCTTAATCCGCTTGTGATTAAGAACAGCCATTTTTAGTGTCTAATTAATGTAGAGATTGTATCAGTATGAGATTCAAACAAGATTTGTATGCGATGTTTGGAGGAAAGGGCAAGGAGAACTCTGGATACCTCACCGTAGCTCGCTTTACTCTGTAATCTATTACCTGAAATTAAATGCTAACCCGGTAAATAAACGTATTATCTACCGGCAGGACCGCTGTGGAGATATCGGGAAGACAAGGTTTGTTTAGAGATGGAAATGCTCGCGTATTCGCATAGATTGTATCAGAACATAGGATCAATGAGTGGAGTTTACGGGGTAATCAGGTGATCGATTCTCGTACGAAGGGTGCCTCGAGCTGGAGGACACGATTTACCTGGTAAAGGAAATAAAGAATTAGATATACACGGACTATGGCAAAAAGATTTCATATGCTTCACTGATTATATAGACGTCATTTTAATCACAAAGATCATCATCGGAACTCTAAAGACTCAAGTGCTGTTTTTGCTTGCTTCCGGATTCGTCCGAATGGGCAAAAAGCTTTCCGCGAATGCACTCACTGCACGAAATCCAAATGAGTACATGTCTATTAAATCACATGCATGCCATATTTAGTACTTTGACGCGTTTTCATAGAAAATCGGGGTATTTTATCGTCATTTTGTCGTCGTAGGTACTCATTCGACAGTTCGTTCTCAGATATTTTGATACAGCAACGTAGGCTTACGACGAACAATGGTCAGCGAGGAAAGTCATACTTGAGGCTGTACTCATGACGTGAGAGTTCGATAAGTACGAATCAAATCAGGCCTCCTCCGCTAGTATTCGGCTCCGTCAACTACCCGGTAGCTTTATAAGCGCAAGACAACTAGGAGTATATTATAGAATAATAGACTTAGATTACTTATGATTCGGATAGGTATTGAGAGTACATATGTCTTTTGTAAAATTCTAGCAATTTCTAGGCTAAGAAGATTTAGACCGAGAAAAAGAAATGCGAGGAAGCCCTCGGTCGCTAGGGACCCTCGATGTGCCTGAGCGATAGATGTGGATATCAGGACTCTTTCCCCACTCTCGACGACATTATCAGAAATCGCTCGCTCAGATCTGGGCTTGGAATAAAACGTTCCATAGACTCAAGGGGCCTTCAGGGCTAGCAATTCCGGATGGGTTCAGGCTGAGGTCGTTGTTGTCATGGAGATGGTAGATGGGTGTCCAAATTTAGGTGGGCCATTTCCGGTGGGGATTGTTGAATGCCTGGTTATACAAAGCTTGACCGAGGACTTGGTCAATATTCAGGAGTCTGAGTGAAGTAGATCGTATCACAAATGGGCCGAGCACAAATAAATGGCTTGTAAATTGAGGAAATAGGACAGCACAGCCCCTTCGATAACCTTTGGCCGACCCAGATAGTCACCGAGATGAAAATATCTAGCCCTGGCTTCAGGATCTTTCAAAAAGTAGAATTTTATTACAATAGCAACGTCGTGGAAAGGTCAGGACGTCCAATCTGAGCGGACAATCTCCTGACTCATATTAGTCGGATAGCAGAACAACTACGATACCGCACGTGGGCCGAGCGGTGACTAGAACATTCCGCGCCATTGTTCCACTACGTCCCTACCGGGTACGTGTCAATAATAACCGGCCAAGATGAGCTAATCGGCGCTCAGAGTAGAGGCCATCTCGTCTGGTCGATTCAGCCCTGCACGTCCGATTTCATATCACAGATATACGGTAATTACATCCGCTTTTCACTGTAGATAATACGCCCCCTGCAGCTTTCTTCCCAATTGGAAATGTGATTGAGAATCTCGATCCAAGTGTGGAAAACATTCATGCTCAATCAACGGCGGGTAGGGGATACTGCTTAATGAACTTACACCTCACTCTTACAAAGAGAAGTCTTTGATACCTTAACAGCCCGTCCATACGACGAAATAAGGGGGCAATGGATCGGATTATCCCATCCGGCCAACATATATGGTAACATTTCTGGCGTGAATACGTCCGTCTCAGGAGCTTGTCCTGACGAAGGAAATCTCACGTCAACGGTTGGCTAGGAACACGACTGGTCTTAGCTAGGTCCCTCATTCGGGAGACCTCGGTTTCGAAGAACATCAATCTCTTCTGCGGAGGATGTCGATTATCATTCTTGTGTCGTCAATTTGTTGGATTTTGAAATCACAACGATCGGCGGCTGAGACTGCTTTGGAAAGAGCCCCACTCACATGCATTCCAGCTGCCATAGCTTCTTGGGGAAGAAGGGCGCGTAAGGGTTCCATGTGTTTGGTTGGTTTTTTCGGAAACATAGCCTAGGAAAAAGTACAAAGAAGGACAGTCGGGACACCGAAAATGGCTAATTCCAATCACGCACGAATAACACCACGCCTCTGTCTGACTGAATTTGATACGGAACAAGAATATTGAGTAGAGGCGCTTCGCAGACCCCAGAGGTTGCCTATGTTTACCTCATCTAATGCACCATTTAATTATCTTCCCTGCTAGCCATGTTTTTCGTTCTCACATTCTCTATAACAACCAATCTACTTACGAACCACACTGGTTCAAGTTGACTGGTTTTCAACCGAATGCTTGTGCTGTTCAAGACCGTTGTGATTGCGGCCATTCTCTTCCTTCAAACTGCCTATGGGGGCCCGGTTCACCAGCAACTTGTTGTTTGGGAGACTATTATTTGGGAGACTACAACCATCGTTGTGGAAACTGTCAATGTAACCACTACCGTCCCCGTCAGTGAATCAATATATCGCACAACAACGGCAGTAACTGCCCCCACTCATACTTAGGCCAATATATACCACTCAAAAAAATGACGAGACACTTGTTTCTCAATATTCGTGAAAGATCGTCTACTTTTTAAAAGTGAATGGAGATCTAATTGCGGACCCTACGTAGCCTCGTCGGGTTCTGAATCGAGCACCAAACGATGGATGACTAGATCCAATGAATCAAGAACCCAGTAAGAGAATACAATCTCGGCAACTCTTAATTCTTATAATCTTTTCATGACACAGACATGCTCTGTTGCGATCAGTATACCGAGTGGAAAGACCCCCACAATACGGAAACAATACAAGTGTCTAGAGATTCTATACTGGCTGTCTATAATTCATGTGCGTAGCTCTGCTGCTGTGGTATCTAGTTTTTAATATTATGATATACTTTGAAAGGTTACTGTAAGTGAAAAAAATGAATCACGGAGAATACTGTACGAAGCTAGGTTCAGGCCACCACTCCCAGTTTTGCAGCTCTCGAAATTTAGCATTTCATCCCAGTCTTCCCTATTCGTGAGACAATAAAACAAGATACAAGGTTCACGGTTTGATCTACTACCTATAAACAGTAAAGATTGAGATCATTAATCAGTAAGATTGAAGAGTAAGTGAATAAAAGCCTTAGCCGGTCTGCCATTATCTTCACCTGTTTTTCCTGCAATATCTGAATACCGTCATTCAGGTGATTCTGCATGAGCAATCGTACCTATTGGCGAACAACTTCGACCGAAATACCGTACTGATACCGGTACTTGGCCGTTTTTTGAAAGAAATGCATGGCCCACAGACTCGATCTAAGCTACAAGAGTATGGAGGAGACGCCAATTAGAGAGGTTTGGAGTGCAGCCCATGTGGTGGGAGTGGGCCAATGACAGAATATATTAGACCTCGAATATCATCCAAGTTGTGTCGGAGGCCCACTCATGTGTGTGCATTGTACAGTACTAGGTTCTGGGCGCATCAATCTGGAAATCAAAAGTGGCCCTCACAGTCATAGTACCTAGTATTGGTAAGTACGGATCGACGTTACGTTATTCCATTTTCTACATATCTTCCAACAATCCTCGAGGCAGTTGTACTCACAACAGTGTGAAAAGGATGATTTAATTCTAGTATCAATTAAGTGTATCGCTGGCCAAGAAAACCATATATATGTGACGAGGACGACCAACGTAATTTTCTCTGTGACATCGGAAACGAGTGACAATCTGAATGAGCGGATATTCGAATCGTAAATCTTTACTGGTTGCAGGGCTATCTCAGAAGCGGTCCAGGGAATCGCCGAGCAATCCCCCATTGCCTCCAAACCCAAACAGGTTGGGGGAAGTTCAAAGAGAACGCTTACCGGGAGAGTCTCATTCACGCCCAAAGCGAAGCAGATCGCCCATCGCCAGCAAAACGAACGTATTCGAAGAGCGACAACTGTTCTATACGTTCTTTGGCTTCAATCGCAAGGAGACCCTGACTGGTGGAAAGGTAGTCTCTGCAAAACCTATTCTCGAACGGAATGTGATCATCCCCGATAATTCCACCCGTATATCCTGTTGCATGTGGTTAAAGAAATACATCATCGACAGAATCGAGATGGTCAAGATCGACGGAGATCGATCTCGAGGAATAAATTTTGCAAATCATAGACGATTCTCCCTTCTGGTGTGCTAACCGAGGCTTCGGTCTCTTATGGGATTTCTTGGATAG